GTCATATGGAAGTCTCAGATATGTCTAAACTGCTTTTATTAGGACCACGGAAAGGTCCAACCTTTTCTTCTAACTACAGTCAAGTGTGGTGTGGCTTTGCCTTTGTAATTTTACAAACAGTTGGGTTACGTAACTGGAAATTTGTCTCCTCAAGCAGAGAGAGAATTTGTTAGCACAGAATGCATCTTGGAAAATGCTGATGTAAAATGTCAGCCTAAGAGAGACTTTTAAGTTGCTGAAATGTAGTGGAGAGGAAGAAGAAAATTGCTGTTTTACATGATTGACCAAAATGCACTGTAATCATATCAACTTGAAACAGATTCCTTAGAAAGAACTGATAACTCTGATCACAATAAGTCATGTGCAGTGGAACTAAATACTGCATGTAGCTGAAACCGGTTTGGCTCAGTAGATAGAGCGTTGGCCTGCAGACTGAAAGGTCCCAGGTTCGATTCTGGTCAAGGGCATGTATGTTGGTTGCGGGCACATCCCCAGTAGGGGGTGTGCAGAAGGCAGCTGGTCCATGTTTCTCTCTCATCGATATTTCTAGCTCTCTAGCTCTCTCCCTTCCTCTCTGTAAAAAATCAATAAAACATATTTTAAAAAAATACTGCATGTACTTTCGCTGAAGAGTGTAGACACCCAGTATGTGAAAGGTGCAATAGAAGAGATAGCTGTTCTTGCCTTAGCCTGTTTAATGTGACCTCCAGTTGCTTTAGCAGTAAAGAGTGGTGCGTAGGCCTTACCAAGGAATTAGTATTTACCATGCCTGCCATCCTCTTGCATTGCTTGACAGGCTGTTGTGGACTCTCTCATGTGATGTTGCTTTGATGTTGCCACTCCTGTTGGTAATTAGCATAGCATCACTCATCAGACAGTCAACTTCTAAATGGGGCACTCCTCAAGGATTCCACTGACTTTCTTTGCTGTCTGCTCCAATGTGGGTGGGGAAAGTTTAATCACAGATATTTAGCCCAAAGATAAACCTCCTGTTTTCCCTCTCTAGTCCACTGTCTCTATGTCATATTGTTTTCTGTCATCCACAGTCCACCTATAAATCATCTCCAATAAGAGTGATACTGGTGTTAATTCAGTACCAATAAAACTCATTGGCTGACATCTAATATTCTGAAATACTGTTCCTAAACATTATTCCTTGCATATAGTAATCATCTATTTGCCCTAACTCCTTCGCCTTAACTGTAAGTTTAGAGACATGGAAGCATGGAACAGACTGATGAAACTCAGAGCAGAGTCGGGGAGGGGGGTAGAAGGAGATTAACGGAAGAACTTATATACAGTATATACTAGAGGCCTGGTGCACGAAATTCATGCACAGGTAGGGTCCCTAGACCTAGCCAACAATCAGGGCTGATCTGTGGTGCAACCAGTAGGGCAATTGGGGGGTCCCCACTGACACCTGCCTTGTCTGGCCTGGCTCCGCCCACTTGCCGGCCCTCCCTTCTGCTGTCATGGCCAATGGCCTCCCTCTGTGGGGAGACCTACGGGGTAATTAGAGGGGCCCCTGCTGGCACCCACCTTGGCTGGCCTGGAGCCTGCTGGCCGGAGGCAGCTCCTGCATTGAGCATCTGCCCCTTGGTGGTCAGTGGGTGTCGTAGCAACCAGTCTTTCCACCAGTCGTTCTGCTGTTCAGTCAATTTGCATATTAGGCTTTTATTATATAGGATAACCCAGGGACACAGACAATAGTGCAGTGAAGGCCTGGGGGTGGGGCATGGGAGCAGATTGGAGGGAGTCAGCAGAGAGAGGGGGGAAGGGAATGGGCATCTGTAGTATTTTCAACAATAATGATAAATTTTTAAAAAATAATAATAATAAAGGGCAGGATTATGTCTTACTTCTTTGTAATGCCTCAAATAATTGAGTGCCTAATACATAATAAATGTTCAAGAATTCTTATCAACTTAATAAATAGTGGATTAGAAATACCATCTGTCGGATTCTGAAAAAAGAAAGAAATTGCAACAGGTGAGGGAAGTGCCTAGACTTCCAGGTTAGATAACTAGTTAATTATAAAATAACTGTAGTACTCTGCGTTTGTCTTTGCTTAAGACAACAGAAGGCCTGCCTTACCCAATTATGTGACATCATAGACCAAGTTGATGCCTCTTCCCCAGCAGGACACTTTCCAGGCAATGCCTCTGCCCTCTGCTGACTCACAGTCCCTTCTGGGGCCGGAGGCACACATCTGTGAAGTGGCCCTGCAGAGTTAGCTGAAGTGCTCAGCTAAGAAGCAGGAAAAAGTCAAATGACCTGTATTGGACTTTGACTTTTATACATACCCTCCTCTCCCCCTCTCAGGTCTCCACCCACCCTGAGCAACTGAATGCCACCAGCAACTGAATGTAGCACCTGCCCTGAAGGAAGCTAGCGAATGCCATTTGCTGTGCTGGGCTCTTTTCCCTCATTTCTTTTGAAAGTTACTTTCCTCACTGGCCTATGTTCCTCCCCTCCTCGCACCTAAAATGCTTTCTCCTAGCTTGCTCTTTCACCTCTCTGAATCCTACAGGGCCAGCTCAAATCCTTTCTCCTTCTTGAAATCCTTTCTGGTCCTTCTCAGGAAGTGGTAATTGCTCCCTCTGATGAACACCTGGGCACATGGTACTGATGCTACTTGACATTTTGGATATACTGCTAATTATTTTTTTCTCCTTTGTTGTTTGTTTACTGTGCTTCTTAAAAATTAACGTCCTGAGTTTTTATAAAATCTGTAGCATTTTATGTCATATGGCAATTTAAAAAAAAAATACTTGGTCATTTGAAAGAGAAGCATCTAGAAAAAAATTTGACATAGGTAAACAAATAATAAAATTATTATAAATGAGAAAAATCTATGATCATGTGACACTTTTATAATATACAAAATATTTTCAAGTTATTTGATCCTTAGTAGGAGGGGATCAGAAAGCAGCCCGTCAGTTTTTCTCATCATTGATGTTTCTATCTCTCTCTACTTCTTCCTCCATCTCTGAAATCAATAAAAATTTTTAAAGAAGCAAAAGAACAATTAGAGAAGAGTCTTGGATTTCCCAACTAGACATAAGAAAATGTTTCACACTCAACAATGAATATAGGTTACAAATGTGCAAATCAGAAATGGAGATTCTGTTCTATCATCTACACGCAATAGTTCAGAAATACCAAACATGGTCTGTCTATTTGATCACCAGATCATGTTCTTGATTCTAGACAGAATTGCTTACCGAGTCTTCTAGGCCAGTGGTTATACACACACCAGATGCACATCTGGATCCAGGCTAATTTAAATGACTTATCTGTCCTGATCCACTATCTTCTGATAAGCTTCATGCAATTTACATTGTATAGATATCATTCTTGGCTAGAAACAAACCTTTTAAAATTATCATGCTGGTAGACTTATAAGTTTGACAAGCAAAACCATTATGAGCATGATTATCTAAGACATTTTAAACTTTGACAATGGTAGGTCTAGTATTGTGGAATATTACTTGCCAGGTTGAGGAGGCTCAAAAGGAGTCATGATGATTATATTATTTTTAAAATGGAACCATTATTTTAAAGGAAAAAGGATTACCAGACAAGTTCATCCCTTTTATTACATTTCTGTTGCCACCATTCATATTCTGACATTCTTGTCTGCACCTAAACTACTGTGTTGATTTCATGTTCTGCCCTCTATGCTCTCCTTCTAATCCACCCAGTGAGGAAATAACTATTTTTTATGGGCTTATATGGGCCAAGCACTCTGCTGAAGACTTAATTCCCTCATTTCAGAAAGGATAGTCTCCTAAACAATCACATTCAACAACTCTGTACTTTACAAAATCCTCTCCAATCTTATCATATACTCGTTTTGTTCATATGCTCAACCTCTTCAATCAGAGTAATTATTCACTCTTTTCTGTGATATATGTATCAGTTTTCAACATAATTCCCTGGGGTCTAGAAATTCAAAATAAATCACTCCTAGAGGAGTATAAGTTGTGTTCCTATCATAAACGCAACAATCTGAGCAAAACATCTCAAGTTGGAGAATATGAGGGGTGCTTTTGCAAAATGTTTTAAATGCTTGCTAAAATTATGGAGGAAATAACAGAAGGGATAAGGGCCTTAATTCAGAATTAGGACAAGGAAGTTAAACACAAGGAGTAGGCAGATTAAAGAAACCTGAAACAGAACAATGGGGACGTTGGGAAATGAAAACACTTGTCATAAATCTCTTCTTTAGAAACAAACCCCAGGGTAAAATACAAAATTACCCTCATACTGAAAACTTCCATATTTTGAAGGTTTGAGTTCCAGGATGCATGATCATACCCAGAAAAGGAGAAAAAAGAATTTAGCATTCCAAAATGGGACACTCTTTTGAGTACCAATTGTATGCAGAGCATTGTACTTCTGTAAAGATCCAGGTAGCCTGAACTGCCCACAATGACCAATTGCTCCATCATGAAGGAGTGAGTGTGAACTGTATCACACTGCAGTGCCAACTCTCTAAGTGCAGGCCTCTGCCAGAATGAATTCCAAATTCAGTCGGGATCCAAGTTAGGCCACATTAGCTGCTCTGTATTGTTAACCTTTGTCTTAAATTACTATCAAGGGGCACTAATTAAGATAAGAAATAGAGCTACTTCTTTGTTTCATGTGCATCTTCAGATTTCTGAATTATACATTAAAGCAATTGATGACATCTGTGTATGTTTTTCACAAAAGAAAAAAGTATACATGCCTCAGGGTGCATCTGTCTGGCTAAGCAACAGATGGGAAAAACTCTTTCTACAGTTTCTATTAAAGTACAGAGGAATATAATAATTTAAAGGTTACAAAAATAAGGTAAAGGGTACATAAAAATAAATCAATAAAATCTATAGCAAAAAAAAGGAATATTTTTGGATTAATCTGAACAGGCTGAGTTTCCTAAGACTGAAAAATGAGAAAAACCATTTGGCAAAATCTTTAACTTGGATCTTTTTTTGTGTGTTTAATTTTGTTTTTAGGTTCCAGATTCAGAGATGTTCAACTGATCCAAACAGTTACAAAAGCTTAGGAGACAGCTTTCGAACAATTTTCCGAACAGAAGGGTATGTATGGTTCTTCATGTATAAACTCTATGTAGTAATATATTTAATTGCATATAAATATATTACTATGCAATTAAATATATTACTACATGACATATTTACTCTTTTTGAGTAAATATGTCATGTAGTAATTCATATTCCTAGTCTTATTAGGGGAAAATGTGTAAAGGAGTGCCTTATTTATTTTTTACAGAGAAGAAGGAAGAGAGATAGACAGTAATATCGATGAGAGAGACACATCAGTTAGCTGACTCCTGCACACTCCCTACTGGGGATGTGCCCGCAACCAAGGTACATGACCTTGATCAGAATCAAACCTGGGACCCTTCAGTCTGCAGGCCAATGCTCTATCCACTGAGCCAAATCGATTTTGGCAACCTTTCTACTTTTTGATGATTTTCTTGATAATATGATTGAAAATTAAATATGTGTACAATAGAAATTACCATAAAAAGGATATGTATGCAATAGAAATACCATAAAAACATCAGTTTGATGTTTGATCACTTGAAGACAATTTCTAATTTGTGCCAATTTCTAATTTGAGACTTCTTTGAGTTTTCAATAACTTGGCCTGTGTAAACATAACAGTTCCTTATTTTGATTCTTAAATATATTGCTCAAACATGGTCCTTATTTGTATTGTGGTTTACAAATAGTCGATTAAACTGATCTACATCAGAAATAGATGAGTCAAATTCATTAGGTGAACAAATAATGCAATATTTTGGTTTTATAAGCTAAAATTGTCTTTGATGTATAAATTCAGTTAAAGACTTTATCCAGCATAATCTTCCAAAGGTTATGAGACTGCATTTCTTGAAGTCATTTTCATAAGAGAATTGGTTGAAAGTAATTATAGAAAAATGGTAACAGTAACACTAATAACTGTAGTATATTTAGCCTCACTATGTACTATAAATTCTCCTTTTAACTCTGAGAGGTAAGTCCTATCAGAATCCATTCCAGGTGGACAAATGAAGAAACCAAGACTCAAAGAAGTTAATAATTTTCACATATCTGGTAAGCAATGGAGCTGGGACTCAAGTCTACGTCTACTTGAGCCCAACACTCATGCTGCTAACTGCTGTAGTTCACTGTCTCTTTTGGCAGATGGTACTGTGGATACTGTTATGCTATTTGTTTATTTCAGTTAAGTATATATCATGAACATCTTTCCGTGCCAGTATATTCTTTTGAACAACAACATAATAATTTATTTATCTACCTGCTGCAATTTATTAAATTAATGCTTTCTGTGGACCATTAGGTTGTTTTCAGATTTTCACTATTATGAACAACAGTGCAATAAATATTGTTGTGTAGCTATGTATATATTTCTATATGATAAAGATATGGATCTTACCAAATTATCTTGCAAAAAGGGACATAATGATTTCATACCCTTAGTGTTTGAATTCTCATTTTCCATACCCTGTCAAACCCTGGGCATTATAATCATTATTTATGATATCTGTCCCTCACATGCAATCTATTGCTTGTCATCTAATAGGTGAAAAGTAAAACTATGGTATTCCTTTGATGTAATGGGAATTGAGCATACTCTTGTATCATAAGGTATCATTTCTTTCATGAATTGCTTATCTGTGTCCTTTGCCCATTGGATTTTATTGATTTGTAGGAACTCAGTATATTATTATAGGCGCTAATCTTTTGACCATTACATATAATACAAATATTTTTCCTAACTTGTCATTTTTTTTCTTACAACTATAGTGTCTTATGCCTTTCAAAAGTTTGTATTTTTTGAAGATTGTGATTATATCTGTCTGCTTTGCTTTGTAAATTTTGCTTTGTGATCTTGATGTCAAATTTAAAAAGAAGGTCATCCCCTAATCCCAAGATTATAAACATTTTCTTTTGGTACTTTACATTTAAATCTTTCATCCATATAAGAATATTTTTTTTCATGTTCAGTGTGGTAGATAGGAATTAAATTTTATTTTCAAGTGGTTAGTCAATTGTCCAAACACCACTTGTTGAAAAATCCATCCTTTAACTCACTATTATATTAAACTTTCACATGTGCCAACTAATTTTCCTATTCTGTTGCTCTTCTTCCTGTTCTGTCTTATTAATGTATCTATCTCTACCCAGTATCATGCTGTTTTCATTTTTTTATCTAGAGTATCTGGGGAGATGTGAAAATACGCCCGCTTCATCATGCTGAGCGGAGCCCTTCTAACGTGGCATCCCTTCGTCTCACTCACACATCTGCTCCCGTAACAGCAGACGTGTCAGCCCCTGCTCTCTCACACTCGGGGCTTTGCATGCTGTTCCCTGCTCCTGAAGGGCCAGCCCCCTAATCCACACAAGAAACTGCCGCTCCTCATTCCAGGCCGGCCTCAGTTTCACTCTCTCTGACAGTCTTTCCTCTACCACATGCTTTCTCTATGAGTCTTTATTTACATATGCTATATAAAATATAGCATACACTGCTCTGATTTATTGTGTTCATTTTCTGTTTCCCCTCTCCCACCTCAAGAATGTATTTCCCTAAGGGCCGTGTCTCATTTAGCTCTATATCCCTGAGGCCTGTATTTGGCACTGAGTAGAGATAGCAATTGCGCAATGGACAAGAGAATGAATCACACCAGCATCATAATACGTAATTCAAAATGAAACAGAGATGATAATTCTTGCTATAGACCAACCCTCTTAAGTTAGGATAATAATCTTGACACCTGATTAAATATTTTGAGGTCACCACGTAGGATTGGCAAGTTCTTGCTGTTACACTGGTGATGTGATACCTAAGGGTCATACATTGATAGTGTACCTGTATTATAGCAATTCGCATCAAAATTATGCTCATTTTACCCAAGATATATTAAATAAGTCATAGTGTATTATGTAATCAATAAACGTGTCTCTTTTTGCCAAGTTCTGTAAACTGTAACAGATATCTTTGAATTAGATGTGGGAGTTCCTTAGCCAGGCTCTTCATTTCATGTGTGTTTTAGGAAGAATTTGATGTTTCTGCTTTGATATCAAATAATATAACAAACATACAGTATGTGTGGTCCTAGCATAATAAAATTGGCCTTTTCCTAGACTGTATGTATAATTGCTTCTATAGCAAATTGGCATTCTGTCTGTACTGCCGTTAGATATGGACATGATGTTAGCCAAAAGCCAGAACACTCGTCTCTTAGAGATGGAAATATTTGTAAGAGAAAAAGCTGCCTGTTATGTTTGATACAGAGTAAGAGCATTTCATTGCCTAAGGTTAAAGAGAAAAGAAAGCCTTTAAACACATACCAAGTTGAATTTTTTTTTTTCTCCCAAAAGTAGTTCTTTTTTATTTTCTTACTTGGCTTTTAGAGTACACTGAGCTTTCAAAAATGTTCTTGTCGCTCGGGTACATGGACAACAGTTTGGTCTGTGCTCCTCAAGGAGGAATCACCAGTCCATTTGATTATTAGCATATTTAGGAGAACTCCTGTCTCCTGAGTATTTCTATCTCCTTCAAATTCAAGGTTTTGAAAGCTAGTCCTTTTATATCATTAGAAAACATTAAACTCTGTTAAGACACTTAGAATCTGAACATATATCCAATCTCTTTTCTGTAATAAAGTGAAGTAATGGTTCTTAGAGATGCAATTCTGCACCTCTCTCCCCAGATTTCACATTTCCTAGAGACAATAGCTCACTCACCAGGGTCCAAAACCCTTTATTGTTTCTGATATTCTTTTTCTTCATAAAATCATATATACATAATACTTTTATTAAAGACATGGTTTTTTTCAACCCAGCTTTACAGAGGTGAAATTAATTTAAGTAAAAAATAAACACCTTCCAAATTCTGAGTAAGGGTTTCCATAATATGAAATCATCATGGTTAGTTAGATTTTACCAAAGAGGTCATCACTATTTTATCTAAAAAAGAGGAGAGGAAAGGACATTCAGTCAATTTGCATATGTCACTATTGAGAGTACCTCTTCGTTACCATGATCCTTCATCTTTCTCTGATTTAACAAAAATAAATAACTAGTCCATCTACTGTAATTGTGAGCCCAGAGAGATACAAAGATTTAACTAAATTGATTAGGTACCTTTAAAACCAATAAGGTTTGTTTTGTACTCTCTTGCCAAAATTGGCTGGTGTCTCTGTTTACCATGAGTTCATGCATCATGCCTCATTTCCAGTGGTTCCAGAATCTCTCGTGGATGTTTTTCTAGTCTCTTTCATACTTGTCCTTCCTCTAAAGCAAGTGATTGAGATATTCCCAGATGGGTGAGGGGATTATAAATATGCTTTAAAAAGAACACACCTAGGACTGCCTACCTCCTTACTCTCCCTCCCCTGAAAGTGCCTGGTGGCCATTCCTCCTGAAATAAAAAGAAATTTAAGATATCCTGGTGACATAAGTAAAGACAAAAAATGAATGCTTATTTTCTTCAATGTACGGGCACTATGCTAGGGACTTTTTATTCATGACTAGAGGCCTGGAGCACAAAATTTGTGCACTGTAGGGGGTCCTTTAGCTCGGCCTGTGCCCTCTTGTAGTCTGGGAGCCCTCAGGGGATGTGACTGACAGTTTAGGAGAGGAGCTAAGCTGTCAGTTGGACATCCTTAGCACTGCCTTGGAGGTGGGAGAGGCTCCCACCACTGCCACTGTGCTTACTAGCCATGAGCCCGGCTTCTGGCTGAGTGGTGCTCCCCCTGGAGAGTGTACTGACTATTGGGGGCAGCTCCTGCATTGAGCATCTACCCCCTGTTGGTCAGTGCATATCATAGTGACCAGTAGTTCCACAGTTCAGTAAATTTGCATATTAACCTTTTATTATATAGGATTCTCAACACTGCACTGTTCTCAACTCAACACAGCATAATTATGTCTGTCTTTTGTATGAAGTAACTGAAGATCTGAGAAATAAATAACTTGCCCGAAGTCCCCCAGGTGTTACTGGCATACCTTGGTTTTTTCCTTACACTCTATCACCTTTCACTAAACACCAAATTTTGTTGGTGTTT